TTCTTTTAGTTTAAGTTGAAGTACTAAAAGTACTAAAACTGATATGTAAATACATTTTAAAAAGCAATAACTAATAAAAATTATTAAAACACACAAATGACTAAAACTTTAACTACAATTAAAATATAAAATATAAAAAAATAATAATAAATAAATAAATAATAAATATGAAGTTTGGTAATACTAAAATATCACTGCACATGTTTTTTTCCCCCTTACTCATTCACATTGTACATATTATTTGATAATGCCAACATATTGCACACTACAAAAATAAAATAGAATAAAAAAATATTTTATTTTCAGCTAGTTCTGACAAAATTTGTACTTCTCTTATAGTTTAAGTTGAAGTACTAAAATTAACTAATTAAAATGAAGAAAAGACATTTAAAAAAAATCTACAAAACAACTAAAACACAAAAAAATAAATAAAATTAAAACATAAAAAAATAAATAATTCGAGAATTCAAATTATTAATAAATACGAAGTATAGTAATTCCAAAATAACACAGAACTACAGTATATGTCTTTTTTCCTTGATGGTGATGAATGTTTGTGAGGTACATTCAGACATATTTGATAATCCCAACAAATTGGTTCTCAGGCGGAAGAGTTCGATGGAATAGTTCACTCGTTCCTGGATCATCTTTCGGATGTTGAGAGGGTCCTGAAGTACGGAGTGCTGCCTGAGGAAGAGGAGGCTCTTCTGGCATTTCATACCTGTCATCAGGTACGGCGGACACGGACTCATTTAATAGTCCAGTCCAGAGAGTTGTACAGTATCACATGATTTTCATATTAATGTCTTTGTGATCTGCAGGAGTCGATGAGCTCCTTGAACGCTCAGCAGACGGCGCTAGAAAACATTCGCAAACTGGGCGAGAAGATTCTGTCCTCCTGCCATCCAGACTCTGTCATCACCATCAAATCATGGATCAGCATCACAAAGACTCGCTATGAAGAGGTGAGTCCAGTTAGACTATGATTATTAGATATTGATTAGTTGAAATCTAATCTGAAACAGTCGGGGTCTGGAAGTTACATTCATTTTCCTATAGAGAAGTGATGATTGACGTGATGAAATATGGTTCTGTTAAACTAATATTAAAAATATTGTAATGTAAATCAATGAGATCTTTATAACAGTATAGCAGATGCTTACATAAAATGATATAAATATCAGTCGTCACTCTATCTATATCCCCAATAATGTGTCTTAGTAAGATGCAATGCAATCCAGTGATGATTGAGAGATGAAGAAATAAACACTCCTCAAAAGATCCTGATGATCAGATTTGAGACTCGCATTTTTTATAAAATGTATGTATAGATAATCAAGTATACCTACGTGTTCATCTTGAAATATTACTAACAATATCAAAGTTATTCTTACGCTTACTTTATAAAAATCAGTAAAGATTTGACAGCAAAAATAAAAAAAAATTTAAATCTAAACTATCAATCAGACAACAGAAGTCATCTAGTAATATTGTGTCAGCATAGTTTTGATCGTGTTGATCATTTAGAGGCCTCATAAATGTGTGTATCAAATATATTACTGTAGGCTTTATAGGGTTAAGCTAACAGCGCTTATTTTGCAGTCAGTGATGAAAAATTTGAATGACTGGAGAAAATGAATGTGATTTAAAAAACAAATAAGTTGCGGTCACTGTTGTGTTGAGTTGTGTTCTGTATATCCCTGACTGTGTGTATAGGTACGAGTGTGTTATATGTGTGATTTCATGGCTCAGGTCCAGACGTGGGCGAAGCAGCAGGCCGAGAGGATCCAGACCACACTGTCTGCTCTGGAGGCAGAGAGAGAGGAGATCCAGCGATTACTGGACTGGATCTCCTCCGCTGAAGAGTCTCTCAATCTGAAGGAGCAGGAGCCGCTGCCTGAAGACCTAGAGCTCTCTGCAGATCTCATCACTCAGCACACGGTACTAACAGCCAATAATAATCTATTCGCATTAAACTTCAAACATAGATGACAATTCTCTCATCATTTACTAACTTATGTCATTTCAGACCTGTATAACTTTCTTCCTTCTGCTGAAAAAGAATTTTCTTGTATGTTCCACTGAAGAAATAAAGTGATACAGTTTTGGAACGACATACAGTAGATGTTGACAGAATTATCATTTTGGGGTGAACTATCTGTTTAAGAAAAGCAGAAATATAAATATGATCAAAGTCAGTCTTTATCTTGAAAGTCCTCTTCCTAAATTTCACCTTCTTTGAGCTTCATGATTATTGCTTTGATTGCTTTGAGCTTTGATTTTTTTTTGTTATCAAAATGATGTAATATGTCAACTTTTATTTTTTTTTGTAATTACGCTGTTTTGTATCCTGTTTTGTCCAGTGTCTCAAAATAAAAAAAACCTAGTGAAGTAATATCAATCCACAATATTTCAAAATATCCACAAAAAAAAAAAGATAAGTCATCTTTAACATGCTTATGGTGAGAAGCACTGTAACAATCAGATGCATATGTACATTAGAGTTATTATAGTTAACAAAAAATAACACCAAAAAAAAAATAATTTGTTACTTATAAAATTAACATTAATGAAAATACAATAGTATTTAAACATTTTTTTTACTTGTTTTATTTTAGCTAGTTTTATTTAGTTTAACTTGATGTGCTAAAATAATTAAAGCTAAAACTGAAATAAATATGAATAAAATCAATATGAATATGAATAAAAAGAGGCAGATTAAAAACACGTAATAAAAATGGCAAAAACACAACAAAATTAAACAAAAAACATTTTTAAACTCTTGATAAAATCTATAATTGTGTCATAATGATACTAAATTAACACTGATGTGCATAAAGCAACAATTAAAAAATCAGAGCAGATTTGCCTCTAAAAAGTTGAAAACAAAACCATGATGAAGGTTTAAGGTCAGGAAATGCTACTGTTTCTTCTGCAGGATTTCATGGATGAGATGAAAGGGAAGGTACCAGAAATTGAAAACGCCACAAAATCCTGTAAACACAAGCTGGTTCAAAAGCTGCAGGTTTCCCCCAGTCGCAAAGCACCAGCAAGTGAGTAAAGAATCGGTGTGATCCGCTGCTGTGATTATTGTGTGCATGTAATGTCTTTGGATTGTATTCATGCATAGAGAGGAGAGGCACAGCGAAGCCCCCTCCGTCTGCTCCTCTTCCACTGGAGAAACTGGACCCGCAGACACCCGTGATGAGTCAGCTGGTGAGTCAATGGAGGAAACTCTGGCTCCTGGCCCACGGCAGACAGAGCAGACTAGAGGAACATCTGCAGAGGCTGAAAGAGGTGATCATGACTGTGCTCTAGCTTTGATAAAAGAATACGTTTGTGTTTGAATCCATGTGGTTGTCTAAGAACCGTCTCTTTAACACATGCAGCTGGAGGAGTTTGCTAATTTTGACTTCAACATCTGGCGGAAAAGATACATGCAGTGGATAAGTCACCTCAAATCCCGGATACTGGATGTTTTTCGTAGCATCGATCGAGATCAGGATGGACGAATCACTCACAAGGAGTTCATCAGCAGCGTTCTGGCCTCTAGTGAGCATTAAAACTCTTGGTTGCTGAGTTGTTTGGGTGGATACTCATATACAAAATAATATATGTACATGTAAGGAAATATATTGTCATATGAAGTAAAAACATTTATGAAAATACAATTTCATGTATGTATATATATATATATATATATATATATATACATACATAT